CACGGCCGCAGGCAAAAAGCGAGAGACGGCTGTTGAGGTGGCTGGGATGTGCCGGCCCAGGTACACACACACACACACCGCTGTAACACGTAGGCTTTCGCGACCAATAACCATACTATAGTTTTTTTTTGGGTTGGATCGCGTGAATATAAATGTGTCGTTAAACCCGCCACCACCCGACACACAGATTGCTGAGCTGCCACTGCCGATATCCGGGAGTTTGAATCCAGGCCCGCGGCTAAAGCAGCGAGTTGATGGTCTCAGTGTGGTCACCAGCGACTTGGCTAGAGACCCATCGCATTAAATTTGATGTCGCGCTTAATCTGGTTAAAGTCCAATCGAGAATTCAATATCGGTGAGATTACGACGTGGCGAACGCCGCTCTCCCAGTCACAGCGAGGTGGGTCAAGCGCCGCCCTCTGCTGCTCGCGTGGTGCCGGAGGTCACCGGGAAGACGAAGGGGAGCTCGCGAGCTTGCGGCTCTGCCAAGATCCGCTTCCCTTGTCGCCCCAGCAGCAAGTAGCGCGAAGCGTTGCGCCGTGAGTGAAATATCACAAATTCGTTTACAAAAATGTACGGAAAAAAATCTAAACAAACAAATCCGCGCGAGAAGTTGCGACGGCTTGCACCTGCGTCGCCCACGCGGCGGTGGCGGCGCCTCGGCCCTTCTCCATCCAAAGCACGAGCGCCTTCCCCCCTCTGCCCGCCGTCGTGTGGAGTAATTGGAAACGCCGTAACGTCATTAGCGGAGCGGATGCGCAATTAATCTTGAGGCCTTTTGGGTGAGAGCGGGGGGGCCCCCTCGCGCCACGAGCGGCCGCACGAGTCTCTTCAAACAGACGAGGGGGGGTGGGCCCGGCAGGAGGTCCCCTAAACAGCTGCCGGGGAGCGCGGCGCACTCTGCGTGGCTGTCCTGGCGCCGCCGTTGTCGCTTAATAAGACCGATTCGTGTTTCACGCGGTGGCGGCGAGGGACGCGGAAAGCCGTCAACGCAAATGGCAGCCCCCCTCCCGCCCCCTCCTACCCTCTTCCCCTCTCTCCCTCCACGCGCCTGCCCGCACAGCAGAAACACCACGTGTTGACAATGATTGTTGCAAAAGGAGGCGCGGTGGCAAAGATGCGGCGCTGCAATTGCCGGCGCGTGCCGCTGTCGACGGGGAAGGCCGTCATTCGAGGGGGGTGACGGAAAGCCCCTCGAACAACTGGGTGGAGTTTGCCTGCTCTTCCACGCGGGCCAGATGCGTTGGACAGAGGTGGGGAGTACCCACACTTTATTCCACCACACGTGAAATATTGTTGGAGTTAGCGGGCTTGGCGAGGACACACCCTGGCTAGAAGCGGGGGACGGTGATCGAAAATCACGATAGCGTGGCAGCCAAGGCGCACGGAGGAAATGGAGTGACGGCTTGAGGGATGCCTTCATCCAGCAGTGGATTGAGCGTGGCCAATGATGATGCTGACTATGAAGAATATAGTCGGCATCAGAGCAAAAGCGCGAAAAGCTTGACGGAGTGAGCGTTGCACCGCGGAACGTGTTGGTGAGTGATGTCACGGGGAGGTTTATTCTGGCCGTACGCGTTGGGGGTGGGAGCGGGGGGTGGGTGATCGGGGAGGTTCTCAACCGCGACGGGGCCTGGTGGCGGCCGCACGTTGCGACGGCTGCCCGGGGGCCTCCCGTGGTGGGGACAACCAAACCCACAGTGGCAACGGCGAGGGAGACGGCGGCGCTGCCTGAGCACCCGGGGTCGGGGTTAGGGTCGGGGTCGTTGGGAGAACTCGTGCACAGTCGCAGTGGCTGGTTGGCTGCTGTGGTGAGGGTCATAGGGAGGACTCGGCAAAATGACCACTTTCAGTTTTTTGCGTTCTCCCCCCCCCCCCCACTACTGAATGCCCGGCCGATGTCCATTCCATCCCCCCCACGGGAAAATCCCTCTCGATGCCAGCCGAGTCACGGGGACGCCGCTGCCGTCTCCGCTGCAAGCTGCATTACGCTGCCACGCGACTCGCCGCTGCCGCCGCTGCCGCCGCTGCCGCCGCTGCTGCCGCTGCTGTCCACCGGTCCACACATCCGAAATTAATAGGCGGGAAATTTTGCGTTAATGGGGCTGTCCGTGGGTTTGAGACACCGCCCCGCGGGGGGTCCGCTGGGGGGTTGGTGGGGGGGCTATCCCCTGCCCCCCCCCATTCTTGCCGCTCCTCCGACCGGTGGAGGTCGGGGGGTGCCCCGCCCCCCCCCCGCACGCCGTTCGGGAACCACGGAGGAAGCGGCGCCGTTTGGAGGGGGCCTCTCGCTCGCCGCCTCCCTGCCACCTCTGATTTATTGCGGGGAAGAGGCGGACTAAAGAGATCATGTTCCCATCTGTGATTCTGCTGTTTTCTCTTGGGCAGTTATTACCGTGTGATTTATCATAGGGCTTCTGTGGAGAGAGCCTCGAGCGCGCACGCATACATACGTACGTACACGCGTGTGTGTGTGTGTGTGTGAGCGCGCACGCTCTCAGCCTCATCTCATTCCCGCACGTTTTATGTCGCTGCCTTTTTAAGTCTCTGGTGGTTTCCTTTTTTTTATCGTCAGCTTTCTTTAAGAACCACCGAAGCTGTCATCCCGACCTCCCCCGCCCCCCACCACATCCCTTTCCATTGAGAGACGCGGAGCGGGCGATAAGCGGAGGTGACGTTTGAAAGGGGAAGGCCACCCCCCCCTCCCCCCCCCCCCCCGTCGTGTGATGTGACCGCGACTCAGCGGCTGGATGACGGGGCGGTGACGAGAGACGCCGTGCCAGCGACGAGAGACGCCGTGCCAGCGTTCCCACCGAGCCGTTATAGCTCCTGGTTAGAAGCGACCTGGTCACAAATGCAAATTTATAGCAGCAGCCAAACACTCTAAACGCCTGATGTTGAGTCTACATGCGGAGGGAAAAACCGGAGGACCCGGAGAAAATTCAATGCGACCACGGGGAGAGAGAGAGAGAGGCAGGCAAACTCCAAATATACAGCAGGTGTCAGGGGTTGGGATCGAACTCACGGCCTCCTGCGTACCAGGCGAGGTAGTAAACACCTCGCCACCGTGGCGCCCCTCGCCCACGCTTGTTACACCGCGCGTGGCACCAGCACCAGCACCGTCCATTCCCCCGTCTAGATTTCCGCAGCGAGGGGCCCCCCTCCCCCCGCCGTGGGCGAGTGGGGGGCCCCGCCACGGCCCGGTTGATCGGCGGTAACCGCCGGCACGCCGCGCACAAAGACAAAAAGATCCCCCGGTGCAGCCTATGCAGGCTGTTAGGGCAAGTGCCGTTAGCGTCTTCGTGAGTACCCGTGAAGGCCGACGCGGCTAACGAGGGGCTGGTGCGGCCGAAAAAAACACGACCGGCCGCCGTTGCCTCCCCCAGTGCTGATCTTGACGCACCGTGCCAGACTTGTCGCGTTAAGGTTTCGGCGACTTCGGGGGAGGTCCAGGACCGGGGCCACAGGACCGGGTTTGTAGGGCAGAGCGTTAACCACCGCGCCACCGCTCCACCCCCCCACCCCCGCTTGCGCACGCCGGGCTCGTGATCCGCGCGGCGGGGTTTGGCGCGGCACCTCCCCGACGGGACCGTCACCGTGGCCCCGCGTCCGCCCCGGCGCTCGGCTCGCCGGGGGCCGTGCATCGCCCCCCCCCCCCCCCCCAACCAAAATCCACCGCGCAAGCTGATCTGATTAAATACGGCAGCGACGGAGGGGGGGGGCGTCGGCCCTAATGTGGGCTGAAGCAAGGCGGATTGAAAGGATCCCCGCTGTATAATCCGACCTGCTCTCGTGTCCTCTCGGGCGCGACGGGCGTGCGCGCAAGCGCAGCGCGTTCCGGGGACGCGCGGCGGTGGCGATGGTGCCGGCGGTGGCGAAGGGAGGAGGCGTAAAATATGGCTGTCGGGACGAGGATGACACCGGGCTTCGTGCCGGAGTCCTTGTTGATTCGCCGAGTGCGGGGGCTCTTGTCGCGTGCGTGCGTGCGTGTCTTTGTGTCGTCTCGGCCTCAAACGAGTACCTGCTGCAGTGCGTAAACATCGCAATTGATTGGGGAGACAAAAGCGGAGGGGCGTGGCGCTGGCCACACCACCCTCACGTGTGCCCTGCCGGCCTTAATAGGCGCTCGCAAACAGCACTCTCACCCGACGGTCCGTTAAAGCTGTGCAAGGGACGTATTTTTATGGTGTGTGTTTGCGCAGGGCTTGATTTCTCTTTGGATGTTTTCGGGGCCGCTGGTTAACTCGTAGCCTCGGTCGGAGCGAGGGGAGGTTTGCCGGATGTGTTGTGCCGGGTGTGGTAATGTTTTCCTGCTTTCTCACCTGGACAGGCCCGGCTGAAGTTAAGCCCGGCGAGAGCGCGTGTGCGGTTTGACGGCGTGGCCCCGGTGTTTTCGCGGAGAGGTTCGCCACCGTGCGAGGCACGGCACCTGGCAGCGGCGTTGTCGCTGCTGGTTCGGGTTGAGCCACAAACTCCGCCGCTTTCGTTCCGCTCGACAAACTCCGCCGTCATTAACCGCGTCGCAAAAAGTAACGATTTTGCCCAAAAAAGCTTCGCATTCGAGGGGCGGAGGAGGGGTGGGGGGGGCGGAGGAGGGGTGCGGGGCGGATGGGGGGGGGGAGGTCCACGGGTGATGCGGTGTCGATTTGCGCCCTCGCCGTGTTTTCTCAACGCGCGGTTTGTATTTCCGCCGGCGTTGGCGGCGTTGGCGGCGTTGGCGGCGTTGGCGGCGAGAATGAGGAAGGGCAGACGAAAGGTTCCCCGCCTCTTGTAGACACCGAGCCCCGCGGGGGGCCGCGTGCTCCGCGCGTCGCTTCGCATCTCTCGCGCGGCCAGATCGGCGGAGACCGGCTCGCCAACGCACGCATGCACACACGTCGCACGCGAGCCCTCGGCAAAGAGGAAAACCAAAAACTAAACGCGAGGCCCTCCCGTCTGACCCCCGGCGTTTTGCTTCGCTCCCCCCACCCCCCCCTCCACCGCCCGTCCCTCTCCAACAGAACGACATGCAGCTGAAGCCGCTGGAGCGAGCCGAGCGACTCAAGGAGCGACTGGTCCGGAGGCAGCACAAGGGCGAGGGCGGCAACTGTCGCCATGGCAACAGCGGTGGCTCGGACCGCGAGCGGGGACGCGGCCGCCACAAGCAGCCGCTCAAGAGGAAGAGAGAGGTGCGCTCTTCGGCGGCGCTGACACACGCGCGCCAGCCTGCCGGGGTTTTATGTGCAGCCGTGCATCTCCGTGGTGATGACCGTTTGACCTGCAATCTCGATCTCTTTTTTTTGGGTGGTGGGGGGGCGTGGAGGGTGTTGCGGTGCGGGAGGGGGGAGTACAGTGTGCGCACTGCGGCGTGCACGGGCCGTGGGGCCTGTGTGCAGGCCACCCGGCTCGACGGATCCCTCGGAGCGGCCACGTGACTGTGCGCTCGTGTCTTGAGCGCAACGTTAAATGTGCACACTCGCTGCCGCGGTACTGGTGCGTGTGTGCGTGTGCGTGTGCGTGCGTGTGCACGCGCTACGGAGCAGGGGAGACACCGATTGCGAGGAGGAGCCCCGGGCTCGCCGCCACGGCAAAACAGTGCAACAACGTGGGGACTAATCTCCACCTTGTTCTGTCTGCGTGGGACAGGGTGTTGCCCCATCACACGCGCGGGTTTTATCCGGACGCTCCGGTTCCCTCCCGCATCTCGAAAGCGCTCGTTAATTGGCCGCAAAAAAATATTTATGTGTAGAGGACTGCAGAGCTTGGGCAACCGGTACCTTATTTAAACCGCCGCGCTGGGAGGTCGAACCGGCGACCTTTGGGTTGCAGGTCCGGTGCGCAGCCCACGACGCTGCGGCGTCATCGTGTAAACAGTTAACGCTGCCTAATTACGTGAACTAATTAATAGTTTAGAGGGGTTTTCCTTTGGAAATATTAATCGCTGGCGCCGTTTGATATCCCTGGGAAAGTCTCTCCCAAGACGTGGCTCCGATTAGATCGGCGACCGCTCCTCATCCGGTGAGGCGCTCACAGATGTCTTTAATTAGCAGGGATCAGCAATTCATCCGCTCGTCAATTACAATCCCACCGAGAAGCCGTTACAGCGATGGCGCCGCCCGCCCCCCCCTGCCCCCCCCCCCCGCACGAGTAGAGACGGCGTCTGATCGGGACGCTGCGTGTCGCGCGCACAAGCGGTGTGTGGTGAGGGTGGCGGTGCAGGAGGCTCGCACCGCCAGAGATGCTGCTGTCACTCGATGGCCGTGTCTCCGATGCCGTTTGTTGCAGCGACTCTCGGAGGCTCTCGGCACGCTCGTCCCGGCAACAGCGCCTCGCGTGGCCTCGACGGAAATACGTGTACGATGGGGGCGATGTTTTTAAGGCTATGGCCCTTTGTCAATTAAGAGAGGTCGGAGAGGTGGTGGTCATCGTGGTCGAGGTGGTGGCGGTGGTGGTGGTGGTGGTGGTAAGTGCTACCAGTAACAGAGTGCCAATCCAGAGGAGTGAGATGCAGCTGCCATCTTGTATTGATTCTCCATTTCTGTACCCAGAGGCGGTGCCGTTTTTCTCCGCTCTGCGTGGCCCCTGCGGTGAAAACGACCGCTTCCTAAGCGCCCCCTTCACGTACAAATGGCTCCCTGTTCCTGCCTGTAATTGGGGAGGCTCGCAGCACCCTCCCCCACTCCACCCTCTCCAACCCTCTCTCATCCCCCCACCCCCGACCCCAATCGGCTCGTCGCCGCGAGCACGGTCACCCGACCTCGCGACACGGGACATCTCGGAGACTCTCTCTCCGGCTTTGCTCCGTTAGTCCCGAGGACAGACATCTGACATCTGACATCTGGCCCGAGCCTCAAATGTTATTCCGCTTTCCGGCGGGGACCGTTAGGCGTCGTTCGTTGGCTTTTTTTTTTCTAATTTAATCAACGACAACAATTTAAGCCGCCCCGTGAATTCAATTGGCCCTGCCCTAGCGCGTGCTGCCTCTCACCGGGGATGGCCAGCACCCTCGGCCCCTGGGGGGGAGGGGCGAGCTCGACCGGACGCCATCTCCAAGGCCGCGTCGGCTGCTCTGGGCGACGTTTCTCCTCCTCCTCCTCCCGCCCCCCCCCCCCCCCTCCTCGTCATCGTCCGTGCCACCCACCCGGGGGGGGGTTCCCATTCCCCCGGCTCCTCATCAAACCGGGACTGTCGATCACAACTCAAAGCGGAGGGGGTGGGGGGGGACGGAGGGGGGGGTTATGGGATTACGGAGGGGGTGGAGGGGCGGTGGGGGCAGTTGCGGGGGGGTGGGGGTGCGGGGGACTGCGAGTGGTGGCAGGGGGCTATCGACGCGTTCGTCAGCGCGATCCACGGCGAGCGCGAGGAGTGGCGCTCGCCTCTCGAGGGTGGCGGCTCGAACGGGCGCCATCGTCGCCGCGCTCGTTTGGCAAGGCCTCTCGTTTCTCGCGGGCGCCGCGGAGACCCGGGAGGGACAGACTTGGCTTCCATAATTACTCGAGAGAATATTCGGAGAACACGGACACGGCCGGGGGAAAATTATCACGCGTGTGCCGCTGGACGGGAGGTTGTTGGGCGTGGCTCGGCGACGTTTTCTTTCGGCGCAGCCGGTCGCATCGCGCCGGGCGTGGGTTTTAGAGAGGGGGTTTGCTGCCTTCGCGAGACTGGATGTGGTGTGGGTGGCCGGGGTAGTTGGGGGGGGGAGGTCGTTATTGTTAAGGGGGCGGCTCGAGGTGGAGTGGTCGATTAATCGACCGGCTCGAGCGATCGCCCCGGCCGTCCGCGATGGGCGAGCGCGACGTGCCGAGGGCGCCGGCGAGAGGCCAGCCCCGGGGAGCTTTGCGCGCCGACGCCGCCGCCGCCGCCGCCGCCGTTAATTAGTTCGGATGGAAAGCGGCCATTTCTGTGCTACTTTGGCGAATTAATTGGCCGATGTAATTAAAATACGAAACTGGGCGCAAGGATTTGTGGCAGCACGTGGCCCCCGGAATAAATTAAAGGCGATTTAGGTAATAAATTCCGCGATAGCGTTTGATTTGTTTAATAACCTGGCCTGAGCGTCATGTTTAGCCCGTATGCAAAGTAGGCCTAATGAGGAGCCATAAACACTGCGAGCGAGCGTTTATGTCGCGCGAAACACCGGGGATTGGTGGGCCCGAGCGAGCGGAGCGCCGTGCCGTGGCGGGAAGCCGATTCGTGATTCCGCTGCCACCGAGGTCAAGAGGTAATCGCGTCCGCTAATCACCTGCTAAGTTACGCGGAGAGGGAATCCCGCCACCGTCGCACGCCGCTGCCTCGTCCTGTCATCTTCTCTTTGCCGACGCGTGAGCGCGTGTGCGCGCGTCCTTACGCTGTGGCCTCTCCTCGATTGGCTCGGCCTCAAATGAGTGCACCTGGCGGCGGTCGAGATGCGTCGGCGGAGTGACATCACGCGCGTTGTAGTAGCTTGAGTTTGGAGGCGGTGCAAGATAGCAATCGTGGGGGAGGCCCCCATCGCGATGAGCCGAGGGGGCACATGGAGACTAATAATGGAGGGCTTTTAGTGTATCTTCAATTCATCCGCTCTCAGACAAAGCGATTGAATGGCTCCGTCAGGAACGTGCGAAATAAAAGCAGCAAAACATGCGGTTTGTAACAGCGGTGCAAACGTTTTTGGGGAGGGGGGGGGTGGTTGGGTAGGATTGGGATGGGGGGCAGGGGTGGGGCAGCTGTCATACGTCATCGCCGCGCACGTGGTGAGATGCACGGCCGTGGAGCGACGGGATGCGACGTGTCGCGCCCGGCGCAGAATTACGGCGGCGTGCTTCTTTTATCGGGATGTTTTTTTTTCCGCCGGAGCCAGCATTTTATCGCTGCCACCACCGCTGTCATTAATGTGGACATCTGTCAGGGGAGAGAAAGCGAAGATAAAATGGGATTGCTCTCTGCCCGTGGCCTCGTGCCACGCGGCCTGCCAGCCCCGCCCGCCCGCCGCCCAGCGATCGCTCTGCGGGTCGGACGTGCGGGCGATAGCTGTCGTGTCCGGACGCGATTCCGTTGTCTCCACCGCCGCTCTGTATTTAAATTTCTGATCGATCAGCGCTGCTCCAGCCGATCGACTGTGTCTTGACAAACGCTCGCCGGCGCCGAGACGTAGCGCGATCATCGCCGTTGTTACTGCTGCTGCTGCCGCCGCCGCAGCAGCTGGGTGTACCGTGACAGACAACTGCGGTCGTAATTTGCAACCCGTGGCGCGGCTTGCGGTCGCGGTGTAACGTTTCAGCCGCGCTAGGCGAGCGCGTCGGCGATGTGACGCTTGCGGTCGTCTGATGTGTGCGACGGCCAGGTGCGCGGTGTGCGGCAGCGGTGTCATTGTGTGGCTGCCTGAAACGGACCAGTAGTTTGACATCCAGCTGGTGGGGCGGTGTGACGCGTGGCCGAGCGGTGCGCAGCCCCGGTGGCTGTGATGTTCGGCGGCGGTGTGAGGCACCTGAGAGATGCTAGGTCGACTCGGCCTCAAAGGAGAACCTGGTGGCGGTGTGTGTCGTAAACGTCGCCGCTGGGGAGACAAAGGTGGGCGGGCGTGGTGCTGCCCACCCACCCCTTCGTGTGCCACGGTGCCAGCCTTCATATTCGGTGCTGCTACTCGCTACAAGCAGCACTTGCCCCTACTTGCTACTAGCAGCGCTTGCTCCTCCAGCTCTGTTGACGCTACACGGGGGACCTTTGTCCGCTCGTCAGCTCCGGCCGACCCCCCCGCCATCACGGCGTGACGTCACGTGACGTCACGTGACGTCACGCCGGGGCTTCGCGAACGACGCGTGACGACGCCCGTCACACTTGCTAGCCACGGTCCCGGCCACCTGCCGTGACCGTCGCGCGATGGCGATGCGAACGCAGTGAACGCCCTTCTCTACACGCCCTCTGCCAACCTCCGCTCGACGGGACGTTGCTCCTTCTCTGCTGCTGCCCCCTTAGTCTCGAGCTCCTCCCTCCTCCATTTCCACAGCCGACACCCTGACCCGGTCTTAAAATCTCTCCCTCCTCGTCTGCCTCGGACTGTATCACGCAAAGTGTCTTTGTGTGAGGCAGGGGGTGCTAGCCACAGTGCACGTGGGGGGGGGTGGGGGGTGGGCGGGGGTGGGGGGGGGCCCTTCTGTTACGGCGTCTTGAGATGCTGCCACTGCTGCGTCTAGACAATCTAAATGGGGAT